TTTTTTTTTTATCCTTTAAAAACAATACTGTATTGTATAAGTTTAATTTAGTTTTCTAACAGGTTAAAAAGGAAAGGAAAATGGGCGATCGCGAGTTATCCGAGTCTGAAAAGGCGATTGAGCGCTATAAGGTAAAGAAGCTCATTCAAATGCTGGAGTCTGCCCGTGGTATGGGAACCAGTGTGATCAGTATTTACATGACTCCAAAGGAGCAAATCTCTGGCATGGTAACAAAGCTGAATAATGAGTATGGTACGGCCTCTAATATTAAGTCCCATACGAATAAATTAAGTGTACAGAGTGCTATTACAGCCTCTCTTGGACGTCTCAAACAATACAATCGTCTTCCACCTAATGGTCTTCTTTTATACTGTGGTACGGTTCTCACGGCGGATAATAAAGAGAAGAAGCTTACACTTGATATTGAACCCTTTAAGCCTGTCAGCCGCAGTCTGTACCTTTGCGATAACAAGTTCCACACAGAGGAGCTACGCCGCATGCTGGAGTCAGATGAAAAGTTTGGTTTTATTGTAGTGGATGGCAGCGGCACCACCTACGCCACTCTCTGTGGGAGTGTAAAAGAAAAACTAGGCTCCTTCACCGTTGAGCTCCCCAAGAAACACGGTCGTGGTGGTCAAAGTAAAAACCGTTTCGCCCGTATCCGTATGGAGCGACGCCACAATTATCTCCGCAAAGTCGCTGAAGGCGCCACGCAACTTTTCATTACAAACGACCGCCCCAACGTTGTGGGTCTCGTGCTCGCCGGCTCTGCGGAGTTTAAGGAGGTGTTGTACCAGTCCGACCTCTTCGACCCGCGGCTGAAGGAGGTGGTGGTGAAGGTCGTCGACGTGGCCCACCCCGGCGATGTGGGACTCAACCAGGCGATCGATCTCGCCGCCGACGCCCTCACGGGGGTGAAACTCGTGCAGGAGAAGAAACTCCTGCAGGGGTTCTTTGATCAGATCGCCTGCGATACACAGTTGTATTGCTTTGGAGTGGGCGACACCATGCGTTGTCTGGAGGCCGGCGCCGTGGAGACCCTCATCGTGTTTGAGGACTTGGATTTGTTGCGATACACCATAGCGAAGAACCGGGGAACAGAGGAGGAGGAGGTGACGGTGCACATCATGACAGAGGCAGAGGCAGAAAAGGCAAATATTCACGTACATGAGGCTGGCAAAGCACAGAATGAAATTGAATCCGAGAACTTTGTGGATTGGCTCGCAACGAACTACCAGAAATTCGGTTGCACACTGGAACTGGTGACAAACCGTAGTCAAGAGGGAACACAGTTTGTACGTGGATTTGGTGGTATTGGAGGAGTTCTGCGGTATAAACTCGACCTGATGGCACTGCGTGATTCAGAAAAGAAGGAAGAAGAAGAAGAGCGCATCGCTGCAAATAACGAAGACTACGACTTTGATGATGACTTCATGTAAGGGTGTATGTTTTTGTTCTCCTTTTTTTTTTTTCTTCTTGTTGTTTCCTGTTCTTTTTGCTTCTACTTTTTGTTTTTGTTTTTTTCTTCTTACTTACACACACAGTCTCTCTCAATCTCTATCTCTTTCCAATTCTACATCTGAGCTTGCTTCTTGTGTGCTGTTGTTTTATTATTATTACTATTATTATTATTATTCTGCCCATGTGCCAGTGCGCTTGTGTGTGTGTGTGTATGTGGATGGAGTGCGAGAGAAGTTGAGAGTGAGATATCTAAACTTTAACAGTTTCTATATTATATATATATATATATATATATTGTATGGGTAGTGTAAAGAAAAAGAAAAAGAATAAGGAAACACCAAAGAAAAAAAACAAGAAATGACCAGAGTAATAAATTAAATTTAAAAAAAGAAAAGAATATGAATAATACGTAAGTATTCAGAAATGCAATCCTGCAATACGTTGTTGAAGGAGAGAAATTATTCGGTGATGTGTAACTGCATGTCATATCAAATGATTGGGAAGAGAGATATATTTATTGTGTAAGTGCATGCTTTTTCACTCCCCTTCTCTCCCCCTGTCTCTCTCTCTCTCTCTCTCAAATTTTTTTTTTTTCTTTCCGTTTCTTTATTTCTTTCATTATTGTTGTTATTAAGGACGGGAAGTGTGTTTTTTTTTTTTGTTTCGCTTAATCGTATCTCTTGTAGACAAAAACAAAATATGAATAGTATTTATCGGTACCTTGGAGAAGTATGAGTCCCATTGTCATTGTGAAGACCGTCATGAATGATGATATTCACATCACAAGAGTGAATGGAAAGCGAAGATATGGTCCTTCTTGCCATTCTACAAAAATAGTTGGACACTGTTAATACAAGAGACACATAAGGAGATGGATAAAAGAGAAGAAAAAGGAAATCCTTCAGTTATTTCCTTTGCTTTTTTTTTTCCTCTATTCCCATTCCTTTTTTCTTAATATGTGTGTATGTGTTCGTATATATGTATATGTGGATGTCTCCACTTAAGGGAGAGTGGTTTTCGTTCTCTGTTTCTCTCTTGCGTCTTTTCTCTTTACATTCACATAATTGTGTACAATACGATGAGAGTTAAGAGACACTCAGTTGCAGTAAAGTAAAGTGATTTAGTAATAAATAAAAATATAATAATAATTCCATAAAAGAAAAAAAAATAGTAATAATAATAACTTCTACTTGTGCTGTATACATTCCTCTGATAAATATTTCTTTGATTTTCTTCTTCTTATTTCTAGTCGGTTACTCTTCAGCCCCTCAAACAAGCAAATAAAAAGAAAGAGAGAAAGAAATAGATGTACCAACAAGAGACATGCTTTAGTGCCGCTAACACTCCTTTATTCGCCCAAATATTTGGTTCGTCAAGTACTACAGCCACACCGAGAGAAACTCCATATATTGACAACTATGCACATCCTCGAAATAAATCTCGCAATCAAACTTCTTCTTCTCCAACACATAGAGTTGTAAGAGAAAATAATCCTGCTCTAGCTATCTTTCCCTCTACTATTATTACTACTACGACTACTACTAGTAGTGATAATAGTACTTCTGTTGCAGCTGGGGATCGCTGTAAAGAAGAAGAAGTCTCACATCCTGCCGTTCACGACGGTGATGTCTCTATACATGAGAATACATGTGATAAGATAGATGCCGATAGTGTTGAGGAGAGTACATTGCATACTTCTAAGCAACCCGCTTTACCGTTTAGAGAAGTTATGCGGGAACTTGAACGTCGTTTTGGGGAACAAATGGAAGTTCATCGTGGTCTTAATACGGCTATGCGACAATTAGATCTTCTTAAAGGTGAGATATCTCTTTATCAATCAGAGCAGCGAACAACACAACTGGCATTGATGATACAACAATCAACTCGTACATCTTTTCAAGACGCAGCGAGTGCGAATGCTGCTATCGCTGCAGCTACTGCTACTGCTAATGCTATTAGTACTAATACTACTAATATTGGTACTCTGCAAAGGAATCAAACCACAAACAATACAACATCAAATACTACTACTAATTCTAATGCTAATGCTAATGCTAAAGCTACTACTAGTACTAGTACTAGTAGTAGTGCTGCGACGACTTCACCCTTTTTGCAGCAAGTGTTAGAGTCTTATGCGAGAGAGCGTGCTGGTGCAAAGCATGGAATAACTGTACAATCACCACCAAAGATTGAAAAACCACAAAAACCTCCTATAGAGGTGATTCGTCCACCGGAGGAACCGAAACCATATAAACGTGTATATTTTGTACCAGTGGAAAAACAACAAGATAGTGTGAGTGAGAGTACCTTCTCCGATAGAAAATATAGTACTAATACCTTTTCAAGTTCCTCAAGTTCTTTTCCTCCTCCAGCTGTTGCTTCTGTAAGTACTACAGAGATGTCGTATACCGATAGTTTCGAGAGCAGCGGTGGTGTATCTACAGATATCTCTGTATCGCTTGCATCTCAAAACAGCAGTAGAATTTCATCATCTATAATAAGCAGCAGCAGCAGCAGCAGCAGCCGTAGTAGTAATAGTAGTAATAGTAATAGTAGTATGTTGTCTTCCACTTCCTCTATTACGGACCTGACAGAAACGGTGGCACCGTCTTCTACAGTAAAAGGAATGAGTGTGATACGTACACAGCAGAAAACTGGTCATGTTGATGTTGATGATGCGCCGCTGTTGGCTGGACTGCGAGAGTTTCACCGTGCGTGTAATAGTGCCAATCGTCTTCTGCAGATGGTGCTTGGATCTAACGGAGATGTGAGGAAGTATTGGAGAAAGGGAGATGTTGATAAGAGATCCGATACTGGATCTTCTGTAAAACAACAAAGATTGATGGATAAGGTTAAGAATGATGGAACGGGAAAGGAAAAAGATGATGATATGAATAATGATAATGATGATGGTGATGCATGGTTAATTTCTTTACAACGTGATGTTGCTGATGTTCGTAAACTTCGTAGTTTCGTAAATCACTTGCGTAATAATATAAAGGCAATGGATTATCAATCTAAACTCCAAAAGGCACGACAGAGTTTATTACGAAAAGCTCAACGCCTCGCCAAAGCACGAAGACGAATGCAGCGTGAAAAGTCTACATTATCTGATGTTATGGATGATATTGCAGATCTTATTCAGAGTGATTCTATTAAAGGAAATGGTAGTGATGTGATAGATGATGTGGCAACTGTTGCTTCTCTTAGTTGGGGAAGTCAAATAGACTCTGTGGAGGATGTTATTGATGATGATATTGATAATGTTTATGATGCTGTGGATGATTCAAATGATGATATAATTATGGATGAAGTTAGTAATGTGATGGAGAGATCTGATATAATAGATGATGAAGTTTTGGATGAACTGCAAGAACCAATGACTGCAGGTGGTGGTGGTGATGATGATGATAGTAATAATGTGGAAGATATTATGAGTGAATTCCCTAGTGGCATGAACTTATCACGTGCTGAAAGTGAATTTGCTAATATTCTTGCAGAGGCAAGTGATATTAATGACATAATAGAAGATGAAGTTCCCCTTCCAAGTAATAGTGTCTCTGTTGTAGAAGAAGAAGATATCATCATCCCCTCCTCTGATTCCCCTTCTGCGGCTGATGTTATTTCTACAGATGATGAAATCATAGAGGAAGACGGCGGTGTTGTTCACACTTCCGCTGTTGAAAGTGTGAGTGAAGAAGAGATTCCCACCTCCTTCACAGAAGTGATGGACTCACAAGATGCGGATGTCTCTTCAGTGTTTCCCGCTTCTACGGCAAGTGAGAAATGTGAGATGAGGCCCGCGTATCAAACAATAGAGGCGGCAATATGTGATGAGAGCGACTCCGCAGAAAGTGCTCTTTCAGCATTAGAGAGTGAAATAGAGAAAACAAGGAAAAGACGTACAATGGCACTATCAAATGTACATCCGCAAACCTTTACAGCACTTTACTCTCCCGCTGCAGTTCCAAATAATAATAATAATAATAATAATAACAGTGAGGATAATGACATGGATAATGTGAGTGAATCCTATGAGGATGCGGAAGTACATACAAGAAAAACTGGTAGTACAACTACAGTGGAGGAAAGAAAACACTCATATATTACTGAAGGTGAGAAGGAAGATCACGTATCACTGCCAGTAGTGGTGGAAGAGACATCGCGAAAGAATATTCTCTTATCAACATCTCCTACAGATAAACGTCTTTCTGCTTCAGTAAATGAAACTCTCCTTGGTGTGACTCCAGCAACAGATAAGAACACAGATGTGAAAATGTATGCAGCTGATGATCTCTTATCTCAGTTGGAGTGGAAAGAGCGACAATTGGCTCTCTTCCGAGAATTACGACTAACAAGTGAGGCTAATGATATGGGTGATAAACCAATTCCTGATGAAAATGAAATACCTCTTAAGGAACGATCTGAATATCACTGGGGAATGGTGGAAACATTACTACAGTGCCGCTTTGGCTCTGCAGCAGAAGTGGTATCAAGTGGAGATGATATCTTTAGCTATGATGAAATTAGTTATTCTGATTCCAGTGAGTATGATGATTACGATGATGATGATGATAGGGAGGATAGTGATGATTCTATCCGAGAGACTTTTTCACATGATGGTGATCATAACAAAGATAACCGAACTAATGTACTACAGAGCATGTAGTTAAATTTGCAATTCTTTTTTTTTCTGCTTTTCTGGGAATCATCTGTTGTTATTTATCCTTTTTTTTTTTGTTTTCTCTCTTCCCATAGATGGATCCTTATATAAACATAGAACGTTCTGTACGTATATACTTTTCTCTCTCTCTCTCTCTCTCTGCGTGTGTATATATACACATCATGTAGGGTTATTTACTTTTGAACGTACCACCTTATATATATTTATTTATTAATTTATTCTCTGAGTATATATATCCTTCTTTTCTTTTTACTCATTTATTACTTGTTTACTCCTCTTTTTCTTGTTGCTATTCCACTTCTCACTAATAAGCGGCGGCGCACCCACGCAGAGCCAACGCAAGAAAAAGAAAGAAAGAGGAAAACAAAGATAAATTTTACAAAAAGAACAATAGCAACAATAACAACAATAACAACTAATAATAAAAATAATAATGGGGAAACCCAAGTGGAAACGTGACCGCTCCGCATTTCTAGATGAGGATTGTGGTCAAAATGCCCTTCAACTCGCAGCACGCGGCAGTACTATTATTGTGGAGATATTGCGACTCTCTGCACACATACCGTTGGAGTTTATTCGCCCTACAGAAACGGAGTACGCTGCTATTATTACGGACTTTAGTTACTTTAAAGCACAGGATGAGTTTGAAAAGAAAATTCAGAATTCTGCTGAACTTTTACATAAGGATGAAGTCTTTTCTACAACTCATATGGAACTTCTTGATCGTTTCTTTAAACTTTTTCGTGGTGTTTATGGATATGTAATGGAACTAAACCGATTTATCGAAGAGATACGTGAAGGGATGTATATTTCACAAACGTTGGAGTCTATTTTAGTAAATCTTGATGGTAAACAACTTCTTTGTGAAATTTTTCACTTATATGGTGTAATGTTACTATTATTAGATCACAAAATTGGAGGTAAAACACGAGAAAATCTTCTTGTGAGTTACATTCGATATAAAGGAGCAGGAGAACCAAATATGGTGGAAGTAACAAATTTATGTCGTGCGACTGGATATGAATATGGACAAGCAATACCCGAATGTTATCCAGTATCATATTTTAATCGTATTCCTGTGGATAAGGAAGTTATTGGTATGATTATTGGACGTATTCGATCTGATGATATTTATCAAATGGCATATAATTATCCTGCCCCAGAGCATCGAAGTGCAGCTTTAGCATTACAAGGGGCAGCATTATATGTATTGTTATTTTTTAGACCAGAAATATTACATCATGAAGGTCCAGTTATGCGTGAAATTGTTGATAAACATTTTGCAGATAATTGGGTAATTAATTACTATATGGGATTTACAGTAGATCTTACGATTGCTTGGAAAGATTTTAAAGCGGCAAGTGCTGCTATAAGTGGAACCGTTGCTTTGGAAAATGTTTCTTATCATCTACAGCGGATGTGTAGTAGTATCTCTACTCTTAATACTTCTATAGAAGAAGTTCTTAGAGAAGGTGTTTTAACAGAACAGTATGTTTTGGATAATATTCACTCCCTTTTATTACCTCGTATACGTGAAGCTAATGTGGTACTTCGTTGGTTTATTTTACATACTACTTGGAGTGGAGCTTCAACTCCAATGATTGAGAAATATCGTCGTAGTTATGAAATTATAAAATCTGCTATTACAAATGATGATATTATTACACTTCTCTTACGTACAGCACAATTAGAATTTACCCTTCGAGCTATGTTTACATCACTTTTAAAAGAAAAACGTATGAAATGGGAATCTTCACGTGAAGAAGGGGCAATAAAAATGTCAAAGTTAGCGACATTTTTCTCTGGTGAACATGTACTTAGTGATAATGTACGAGATACACAGTTAGAAGCATGGTTTACTGAAATTTCAGATCGTATTAATGGACTAGAATATAAAGATAGTATTACAGCAAGTAGAAAAATTCAAAAATTAATGAAAGCTCTTGAAAATGTTCAAGAATTTCATCAAATTGATAGTAATTTACAAGTTGTTCAGTTTGTTCAAGAAACACATTTTCTATTGCGTCAAATGATACGTTATATCAATATTGAAAATAAAGTATTAATTACGATTGCTACGGTAGGAGATTTATCCTATGCATGGGAACTTATGGCTACTTATGGTTACTTTGTTCAAGGAATTCAAAAGAAAATTAAACAAAATCCTGAATTAGCAGTTCAAATGCGTGCGGTATTTGTAAAACTTGCATCTTTATTAGAATTACCATGTAATCGTATTGATCAAGGAGCCCAAAATGATTCTCGTCTTTTAGCCGCTCTTGAAAGTACATCTGAATATTATTCTAGTGAATTAGTGGCATTTGCACGTCGTGTTCTTCATGTAATTCCAACATCTATTTTTCACGTACTTCGACATATTATGACTATATTAACAAATGGATTAATAGAATGTCCAACAAAATTACCTCGAAAAGAATTAAAAAATGAAAGTCAATTAGAAATAAGACAAAAACTTTCTGCTTTTACTGCAGATATTGCCAAATATGCAAGTGGTATATTAGCTATGGAAAGTACACTTGTAGGAGTCATTCAAGTAGATTCTAAACAATTATTGGAAGATGGAATTCGAAGAGAACTTGTACAACAAATTACACATGAGTTACATCAATCATTACTATTTGATCGAAAAATTCCTCCTTCAGCAAAATTATTTGATGAAGAATTGGCTCAACTTGCCCGAAAATTAAATGGTATTCGTGCTTCCTTTGAGTATATTCAAGATTATGTTAATGTTCATGGACTTCGTATATGGTTAGAAGAATTTTCTCGTATTGTTAATTTTAATATTGAAATGGAATGCAATGCTTTTATGCAGAAAAAATTATATCCATGGAAGTCACAATATCAATCCGATAGTATTCCTATTCCTTACTTTAAACCTATGAAAGAAACTTCAGTGTATAGTTTTCTTGGAAGAATAGTACAACATTTACTCGCAATGACAAATCCAGCACGATCTATTTATATGTCAGCCTTTGGATCATGGTATGAACGAGATTCATTGGAGGAAATTGTTGGTACACGTACCTTTACAAGTATTTGTAATGCCATTGGATCTATGGGTCTTAGTGCTTTGGATAGACTCTTTTGTTTTATACTCGCGAAAGAATTGCAACTGGTGTTAAAATCTATTCGTGCTTCTGTTGAACATGTGGAAGAAACTGTTACCCAAATAGCTGAAGAATTATGTCCTGTTAGTGATACACCACCAAAAGCTGTGCAAACATACAAAAAATTAATAGAAATACTGAATGCTACTACTACTAATACTAATACTAATACTACTGTGGATGATGATAATGTTGGTAATAGTAATAGTGGTGGTAATCATTTTTCAGAAGTGACAGATATTTTAGTACGTGTAGGGCGTATTCAAATCATGCGCAGTATGATTGCTAATGAATTACGTTCATTTTGTAAACTAAGTAGTGGTTCTCTTTTTGCTGCACTTTCTACGGCGAATGAGGCACTGTTAACAGATCTTCATAATCATTATCATGACCCGGATAAACATCCAATGCCTGGTGATGTTATTGCAGTCATATCACCATTTCTTGATTCTGTTGGTATTAGTGATGCCAATACCAAAGTATTTGTAACACCTAAACCAATTCCCGTTATCGTATTTTTTCTACTTTCATTAACATTACGAAACTTACCGCGTATGCATTATGATGAACGTTTCGCATCCACCACACCTGCTCAAACACGAGAAAACATTGACCCAGAAGCTTTTGTACGGGGTCTCTCACTCTTGTTAAAGCAGTTTCACTCCGACCAATTGGTACTCTTTATGAGTCATCTTTCCCAGGCTGTTCGAGTACGTGTCTGCGCTTTTGAGAACTCCAAGTCAAACTCATCCCGTAAGGTTGATGAAATATTACCTGTAGAGGCGGAAACACTTACACATATTATTCACGGGTTGGCAGCATCATCCGGGGTTTCTGTTTTGGATTTACACCGTACATTGCCAGCCACACTCTGTGGACCATTCCGTCTCTTTACACAACGGAAAAAGAAGTAATGATTGGAGGGGGTGCTATCATGGTGATTTTCTCTCACTTGCTTTTCTGTTCTTTTTTTTTTGTTTTTTACCCCGTATGTTTCTATTCCTCTTTGTGAGGATTTTCCCCTATTTATTTTCTGTGAATGATCTCGTAGTATGAGAATTTATCGTTGCGCTGCATTTCCAAAAAAAAAAAATTATTCTTTTTCTTCTTATTTTTGTTCTTGTTGTTTTGTTTATATTTTATCTCTTCGGTATGCTTGTTTTGTGATCTTTTTTACATCTGAAGTTTCTCAACTCATCTATTTTTTTTTTTTTTTTTTTGCCTTTCTTTGAGGAAGTCTCTCACACCCTTCCCTTTTTCCTTCTTATAACCACTCACACACGTATATACTACGCAACAGGAGTGAAAGAAAAGGAAAATAGTAAGGATATTGCAAATACAGAAAAAGAAAGAAAGAAAAACTAAGTGTTTTTTTATTTTTTACATTTTTTTTTTTTTTTACAAATGATAAGGAGTACAGAACTTGAAGTGCAAGTGGAGGAGGCGCGGCTTAAATTACAGGATCTTAAACGCCAACTTCGTGAAAAACGAGCCAGAGAAGCATTGGAGGAGGCATCAGATGAGAACAATGTTAGTAAGAGTTATTACTCCGATAGCAGAGATAGTAGTACAGATGGCAGCCATAATGATGATGATGATGATGATGATGATATCAGAAATGGAAGTAGTGGTAACGGAGTTCATAAAGGTGAAGAAGAACTTCCTCCATTTATTTCTGCTGCTAAATCACTTACAAAGGAAGAAATAGAACGTTTCTCACGTCAAATGTTGGTAGAAGGCATTGGTGCTGAGGGAATGGAGCGGATTCGCAAGGGTCGTGTGTTGCTATTGGGAGCTGGTGGATTAGGTAGTACTGTGTCGCTTTTTCTTGCTGCTGCTGGTATAGGGACATTGCGCGTTGTGGACTTTGACAGGGTGGAACGGAGTAATTTGCACCGACAAGTTATACACCCAGATCGTAGAGTTGGATATTTAAAGGTAGATAGTGTCTACTGGTCCTGCCAGGAGCTGAATTCAGGTACTATTGTAGAAGTGAAATCCGTACGACTTGACGCTAGCAATGCTGAAGAGCTGATGAAAGGTTATGATGTTGTGGTGGACGGTAGTGACAATGTTGCGGCTCGTTATGTAGTTAACGATGCGGCGATGCGGCAGGGTATTCCTCTTGTGAGTGGTAGTGCGATGCGATGGGATGGACAGTTGTCGGTGTACGGTTACGGCGATGGTCCGTGTTATCGTTGTCTCTTCCCTGTTCCCCCGCCAGTGGCTGCGGTGGGAAGTTGTAATGATACCGGTGTGATGGGGCCAGTGCCCGGCTGTATTGGATGTCTGCAGGCGCTGGAAACACTGAAGATACTCGCAGGCGCCGGGGAAGTACTCGCAGGCCGAATGCTCCTCTTTGATGGACTACGGGCAAACATGAGAGTAGTGCAACTGAGACGCAGACGAGAGAATTGCATTGCATGTGGGAAAAAAGAAGAAAATAATAAAACGTTATTGGAACTTGCAGCAGAGCGACCAGAGTATGATTTGGTTTCATGCGGTTTGACTGCTGCGATTCAAGCTAAACTTCCTAATGAGGCACGTATCACACCACGTGAGTTTTATGCCAAACTGCGATCTGTGAAGTTTTCTGCCCCGGACTCTCTTGTATTAGATGTACGCACGAAAGAACAGTACGATATGGCACACCTCCCTGGTGCACTCTCATTACCACTCTTGCAACTGCAGAAATGGCATCGTGATGGTGTTCTTCGCGATGCCTGGATGCAGTTCGTCCAAGAACATTCTGTTGGTAATGTTGATTGCAAAAATGTCTATGTTGTGTGTCGCAGAGGTGTTTCTTCCGTTGCTGCAGTCCAAATCCTTCTTACACTATATCAAGAAAAAGAAGAAGAAAAAGAAAAAAATGAGGACCATATCAATAGTGACTGTAAAGGAAACAATAATGATGTTGATGATGGTTCAAAAAAAACTTCCTTGAAGGGACAGTTTCGTTTTATAAACGTAGACGGTGGGCTAAATAGGTACCACTACGAATCGAATAAAAAATTTCCTCTTTACTAAGTGGGAATACGCGAGAGTTTTTCTATTATTATTCTTAATCTCTGTGTGCGTGTGTGTGATAATGGCTTTACTTTGAAGGTGTTCTTCATAGTAGTCTCTAAAACTGCTTCTACATCTTTATATTGCAAACTCCTCTTAGCGAAAGCAACTGTTTGTATGTTTTTTTTTTTTTTGTTGTTGTTGTTGTTTATGCTCTAATTATCATCTGCATGAATTCTTTTATTATTTTTTTTCTTCCTATTATTATTTTTCTTTTCCTTTCCTTTCTTCATTTTATATTTAAAGAGTTCAGGGAAGGACGTAGATGCATAAAATGAGTACACATGACCCTCAGTTATCCAAATTATCGTCATTAGATGATTATTTAAGCTCACCTGTGTCACCACCACCACCCCCAGATGATGATAATGATAATGATAATAATGACAGCAACAAGGGAAGTATGAGGAGTAGAGGGAGGAATGATCCTGATAGAAAGACACCATCCATGTTTAGTGTTGATTCTATCAGTGAAGCTGGGCGGTCACAAACAGTTATCAGCACCACCGTGCGGCAGCCTGTTGCAAGGCCGGGAATCTCTGCTAGATCACCAACAAACGTTTTCTCATCAGCTAATGAGATGCGGCAATATCAAATCCCAAGAGCAGCCGCAAGTGCCACCACAACAGTACCAACGATGAGTACTACCATTAACTCTCGCCGGCAGCAGTCGTTGGGAGGTTCGTTAGATGATCTTCCATCACTCCCATCTGCTGCTGCTAGTCGTGTAGTACGGGGGGCAACCCCTGTTGTTAGCGGCGGTGGTCGTCGCGATGGACCACATGCGGGAATAACACTAGAAGACGTGAAGAACGCTGTTGAACGGAGGAGACGGCAGTGTCGTTCTGCAAACTCCACACTTCACAATTCCTCTGAGGTGGTGTTTGGGAGCTCCCAAGAATGTGCCAATGGGGAACAACTGGTTGACGAAAAATCAGAAGATATGTACAATCTTGTACGGTGCCCGGAGGTAGGACGTGGTGTTAATGAATTTGTGGCTTCTTTTTTATCTGCGAATGGATACCACGGAGCTCTGGAATTATTTAAAAAACGTCTTCCTCTGGCTGAGCAACAACTCCAGAGTTGTCTACACCATCATAATCACCACCAACAGAAGCAGCAGCAGCAGCAGCAAAAACAGGATGAGAAACAACAGATATCTTGGGGTAAGAAAAACATTACGTCCGTAAAACCTGAGGATAAAAATGATACCATGGTGTCTTCTCCGATGTATGCCTTTACGAATGATGATCTCTTGCTTTTCGTGATGGATTCTGTGAGACAACAACAAATGCTTGATGATAGGCTTCCATGGCGGGAAATCAATTGCAGGAGTAAAGATTATAGACTAGAACCTTTAGAACATCATCAACCATATCAAAATGAAGTTACAGGAACTGAGGGAAATGTAGGTAACAATCAACAGATAGACAGTAGAGCCGTTGGTGGTTCCCTAGATCTTCTTATAGAAGTGCTTGTTCTTGTTGAAACTGATACCCCTTTTACAATAGGAATGCCTATATTCAATTATACTAACATTTTTATTTTACTCTCTTCTTTATTTGTTATGCCTGAAGTACTTATTGTGAGACTTATTCGGCTTTTTCGTCATATCCAACAACAACTTCCTTTGGATGATAGTCGTTGCGTGTATCTACAGCGTCGTATTTTACAGTTTATAATCGCATATTGTAAGTTTAACGAAGCTGATATTACCTACACTCTCCTTGAACGACTTGAGAGTTTTTTACAGAGTTATAGTACCCCACAAGCAATGAACCAGTTTACATTTGAATCTTTAAGCACAACCTGGAGTAGTACACCATTTTTACCATCTACTAGTAAATTACCGAGTGTATATTCTACAGTGGCTGTAGAAGTTTCACTTCGCTTTAACGAGTTATCAGTGTTTATTAAAGATTTATTAAAGAAAAAATACGTTTTAGTTCAAAATAATTCCATCACTCCTAATAATACTACTAATTGGCAAAGTAAATTAGTAACAGCAATTAAACCGTTAGGTACACTTTTATCTGGAGCAAGTAACGGTAAAAATAATAGTAATGAAACACAGATGGAAGGAAAAACATTTTTACTATGTGACACAATTTTATCAAAAATTGGAAATTATACCGAAATTGTATTCACAAAAGTAAATGTTGAGACTCTCGCAAATCAAATGTGTCTTCTTACATTTCGTTTATTCGCTAATATTCACTTGCGAGAGTTGCTGAATAATGCATGGTGTGATGAGATCATGCGTCTTAGTGTACCGTATCACCTATCACGTTTTATCGATTATTTTTCTCATTTGCAACAGTGGATAACAGTACTTATTGTAAGTCCCAAACGGTGGTCTGAATGTCAATCTGCCATGCAACAAGGTGTGCATTTCTGTCGTCTTCTATATGAAAAACAAAACTACGAGGCAGCAGCTGCAGTCTTGGCTGGACTACAGGACCCAGCGGTTTGTACACTCGAAGAGTTATACCGCCAGTACTTTAACCGTCCCATGCTGGATAGAAAAACGCAAGATATATTCTCTACACTACAGGATTCTATGGACCCATTTGCTTCTTCTGAGAGTCCCTCATCACTGCGATCCATCAGCAGTCGCATAAGTGCCGGTAATATGGAGGCACCGATGATACCACTTATCGCACCCATCCTCGGTGTGCTTTTCCGCACAGAGGAGTCAAAAGGAAAAACTGTAGAGGTTAGTGGAAGAGACAGAATTCCTATTATAAATTGGAGCAAAATAGTGGCACTTGCCAAAACAGTATTTATCTGGCTTCGCTGCCAAAACACACCATACAATTACACCCTAGATCACAAACTACAGTTTTATCTTTGGCAAATGTCAGGTCACCAGTATTTTAATAGAACTATAACAAATCTTGCAAAACAGGAACGAGTTGAGTAAAGTTAAATGGAAAAAAAAGTCTATAAAAACATTATCGGAAAAAAAAAAATGCAAAAAAAACAATCGAAACAATGATGATAGAACAAAACGTTTCTTGACTTTTGAACAGAACTATAATGAATTCTCTTTTTTTTTCCTTTATTCCTTTTAATAAATGAGAACAGCTTGGTAGGTAGCGAAATAAGAAACTAACCTGTTTTTTTTTTCTTTTTCTTGGTAAGAACATAGTAATGAGTCGTCCGTACAGCAAGCAAAGAGGTGGAGGTCGTGGGAACTATGATCGTGGCCCCGGACAGAGGAATGACAACCAAGGGAATGGGCGTGGGGGCCGCTGGCAAGGACGCGGTGGCTACAACAACAACAACAACAACAACAAGAATGGTGGAGGAGGAGGTGGTGGTGGTGGTGGTGTGGCGACTTCTGTCATGACGACGCTGTTGGATCTCCTCTTCCAGAAGTCGTCAAACACCATCTTCGACCCGAGCTCCGGTATGCTGAATCTCTCCAGCTTCCATGAATCACCGGACCTTGCCAGTGTGCAGCGCAGCGTAGACTTCAACAGTGTAGCATTTTGTAAGAGCCTGGTGGATGTGATAAAGAACAAGATTGGCACATCACTGCGTATTCTCGCGCTTAACAACAACAGCATACGGAAATTGACGGCGTTTCTAGCGGCACTGGAGGAGGCCGATGTGCACCGCGGCATAACGGCGATTTCGGCTACGGGGAACCAAGTCTCAGACCTCACGTTTCTTGGTCCGCTGAAGAAGTACGAGAGTCTTGGGGAGTTGCTGCTGGAGGGAAACCCCGTTGCGAAACGCGGTGACTACAAGACACAGGTGCTCAAGTGCCTGCCGAAGCTCATGATGCTTGACGGCCAATTGATTGACCGTGCCCTCCTGCGGTTGCCCAACCCAGTTCCGTCCACTCTCAACGATATGCAGGTAAACGTACTGCGTTTTCTTGAGACTGGTGTGTTCGCCGCTGCTGCTGCGGGCAACTACGATGCACTTGTTAACATGTACGGCCCAACGGCGGTGTGCAGCGTGAGCCGTGCGGAGGAGCCCATCCCGCGACACCTGCCGCTCGACGCGGCACACAACTGCCAGGCACTGAGCGGACCCCAGCGAAACATCATGACCAACGACTTTGTCCTCCTGCGCAAGCACGTCCAGTGGCGAAACCTTCACAGTGACGTGCACTCGCTGCGCCACGTCGCCATTGGGCGTGCCAAGGCCTCGCTGGCAATCCAGTCCATTGGCGGTGGCACCAAGAAGTTCATCACCGTGTCGCACGAGCTCAACGGAAACGCCAGTGTGGTGTTCCTCTCGCAGAACATGAAGGTTCCTACATGTGTTGTGACGATCCACGGCAGACTCTTTTGGCACTGGTCCCCAAAGAATAGCGACGGCACCGACGTATTTACGAAGGCGGAGGCACCATTCTTTGCCTGCTTCTTTGACCGCACCATGACGCTGCTGCTAGACAGTACCGGTAGCACATGGACCATCCAAAACGATATGGTTTTTCTGCGCCCTGATCGCACACTGGTGCGTGGGGATGGCACTGCGAGCTCTCCGCTATTCTTCGCGAATGAGGCGTCGAGGGTGGAGACGATGCGCCGCCGCTTCATGCCGAAGGCCTCCCCGGAGGTCATGCGTGTTGTGATTGAGCGCCTTGGCAGCGATGCAGATGTTCAGGCGTTCATCATGGGCCACCTCGCGACGTTGCCAGAGCAGCGTGTCGCACAGGCAATGACAGACTGCGAGGCTATGGCGTCTATCCTTGCTGGGTGATGACACCTGCATTGTAGAAGTACGTAAGTTTAATGAGACCTCATTGTGGAGATGCTCAGCCCTCTAATATATATATATATGTATCTCTGCGTATATCACTCCGTCTTACTCTCACTATTTTTCTTGTTCCTCTTAGTCATCTTAAGAAGGTGGGTGAGGGGAGGGGGTAATCCGAAAAAGGGTTGCCTCCTCTAGTACTTTTCTGAAGTGCCGCTGCGTACCGCCAGGGTCAGCGTTTGCAGAAGACTCTGATGA